GATGAAATTCACCAAATTCCTTTACAAATGAAAATTTTTGGTACAATATATCATTTCTCAATCGCCTCACCACTAACATGTGTGAATGAAGTAACAAAGAAAATCAACCGAAACGAACCAACCTTCTTGGCAAAAGTGAGATACAACTCTTCGATTTGCTTGTATTGCTCTTGCATTTTCAACAACTTCTGACGTCTCGCTTCAGAATTGGCCAAAAGTTGTTGCCATCTAGCAATAACATTTTGGTGTCGTTTCTCGATGTTCGGTGTTTGTGCGTGATGCGAATTAACGAGTTGATCTTTGAGTTCGGTGATTCGCTGAATACCCTCATGTTCGAATGCATTCAGACCAGCGTCGAACGCCTCTTGTTTCGTCAATAAGATCTGAACCGACGACAGATCACGTCCGTAATCATCCGATCGTACTTGCTGCTCCTTCTCAGCGATCCAACTCTCCACCACATCACATTTCCACATAAATTGTAAATATGCACTATTATCACGTAACCGCAGCAGTCTCCTTTTGGCCAATTCACCAATCTCATTCAATCTTGCCTTCAGCTGATCACATCTTGCTTTAATCAGTGGACTGTGGTGATTACCAGCAGCGATTAACTTCTCTCCCTCTTCAATTAACTGATTAACGCGTTGAGTGTGCAACGCCAGATCAGCTTCGAAAGCATCATGTTTCTTCAGCAGTCCCTGTACTCCAGCCATATTCTCACCGAAATTATCCGATGAGAGAATCTGTTGTTTTTCGTTCATCCATGCTTCTTCCTCTTCAACTTTACCCACAAATATTTGGAAATCTTCACTCTCGCCCAGTTTCTGATGTCTGCAATTAGCAGCGATTAGATTGGGTGATCACCGAAACGTGCCATATACTCAAATCTCTTCGATGCTTCCAATAAAAACAATCAGGGAAAGAGTCACATATGACGTTCAAACTCATATTCGAATAATCCTCTCACATTCGAATAATCAGTCACTATGTAACGTCAATTTTCAATTCAAACTATGAATCGCAGCAGGTTTAACATAGAAAAATGAAATTGCTCTAAACGTTCACGGGAGCAGGTGTAACGGAATCATGAACAAAGCGATATACCTTCCTCTAGTGCTGTCATACGCTGACGAATCTCAGGCACACCCACATCAGACGACTGCAACAGCTCTAGACCTTTCTCACGAACCAACTGCATCTGTGGTTCGTGTGATGCCAACTCGTTATCAAGACGACGATGCTTCTTACGCAGATTCTGCACGCCGGTCAAATCGCGGCCGTAGTCATCACTTGACACCAACAACTTCTTTTCTCTGCAAGTCGTTTGAAGCATTAATCGTCTGATATTGAAGCAGAATAACGACAGAGAATTGATCACACTTCCAATAATCACTCACTTAATCCACGATTCCTCATCATCAATGTCACGAATGAACTGATGCACGGTTATTGCTTTGTTCAGTTTATCACGTCGAACATCGGCCAGTTGTCGAATTCTTTCATAACGATCACAAATAGCCTAAACATTTAACGGATTGCAAATCAACCGCTTGAACAGGTTACTTTACTTCATATTATCTTACTAATCTATTACTTCATATTACTTTCCCAACGACTAATTCCAGTAATGAAGCAACTGACGATTTAAAATTCTACCTGGCTGAGGATGAGTGGATCGAGACTTGGCAAAGAATTTTTAATTTTTCATTCAACTGATGCTAATTTGAGGTGTCGCTTGAAGAAAACTAAAGTTTCTCAATATCACTAAAAGAATATCCAAAGAAATAAATGAACGAACCCGTCGTCTCTCTTCAATTTCCGGTTGATCAAACTGACCACTTTCCAACAGGCTATCAGCCTGCTGATTCATTTCACCCACACGATCCGCATGCGCTGTAATATCTGCCTCCAGCAGCTGGTGTTTCTTGAGAAGATTTT